CCGCCTGCCCTCCCCGGCCTCCCGCCTGCGCAGCCCCATCCCACCCCACAGGGCCTCTCCCAGTCGCTCTCCGCCTACAACAGCAGCAGCCTAAGCCTCAACAGCTTAAGGTAGGTGAGCGGATGGGCTGCCCCGGGCCTGTGCTGATGCTTAGGGGCCCATGGAAGGGACAGGATGGCGGGGAGCCCATCTGGACCTGGCGTTGCGCCATTTGGCCCAATCCTCCCTCCCTGGCATCACTTTGGCTCCGATCTAGCCAGACCACTGACCTCAAGCAGGTCACTAAGGTGCTGCCGCCTCTCTGCCAGCCCGGCACACTCAGGCCATCGGAAGAGGTTGTACAAGACCCCCTGGGTTCAGTTCCCCCTTCTTCCAGCTGAGCTACTCTCCAGAGGGTGCCCCCTTCCCACCCACTGTTTGGCTTCCCACAGCCCCACACGGCCCAGGGTGCGAAACGGACTCCTTCTGCCCTCGGTCCAGCTGGTCAGGCTGGCTCCTAGCGAGAAGCGTGATGCTGTAGCAGTAACTACAGTAAAACTAAGCACTAAGCAAATGTATTTTAAATAGACCTTCATAGGAAATTAAACCTGAAAATTGGTACCAATGCAATCACAAATATTTATTTTGTTGACTCATCTTGTCTCTCTATATTGTGGGCGTAGAGAAAGGCACTAGCTATGCAATGAGCTTCTGCCTGTTATTGTGCTAGTTCGTTTCCCGTTTTCCGCAGTCTTTGCGTCAGAGTTCTAACAAGAATTAAACTTTTATTAATGCAGTAACTGCTGATTTTGAGCTTCATTTATTTGAAGACATGAATCAGTAGTAGTCATGTGGAAAGGACCTTATTTTTAGCCAATAAACACACAGGGTTGATAGCCCTGTTGTGTGTCATCCCTGTGTTACTAGAACACAGAAGCTCAACCACTAAAAGAGGCTAGAAAAGATCCAGCAGGGACAAGGGTTAAAGAAAGGAAGAGCAGAGTAGCCCTCATAGGTCCATGACTTGCCTTTGAGATCCATTACCTGCTTTAGCAGCTTGTTTCATGTGGACTCTGAGTAGCTTCGCGGGGTTGCGTATGTGTGAGTACGTTTGAAATTTCTCCCTCTTCCACGCAAAGCTTAATGGCCTTTCCTTCCCTTGGCAGCAGCAGCAGAAGCAGCACTCCTGCCAAGACTCAGGCGCCTCCTCCGCACATATCTCACCACCCGTCAGCCTCGCCGTTCCCGCTCTCCTTACCCAGCCACAGCCCCCTGCACACCTTCCCGCCCGCCCTGCAGCCCCCCGCACACTCACATCACCCCAATATGTTTGCCCCTCCTACGGCTTTGCCTCCTCCACCTCCACTGACGTCAGGGACCCTGCAGGTTCCAGGACATCCAGCTGGTAGCACTTACTCAGGTGAGCGCCGTGTGGGTTATGACAGAAGCCTGTCTAGCATGGGAAACTGATTGTCCATTTTTAGTCAAAACAAATCCTTTTGGTCAGCGTGGTGAGGGCTGCTGTTTGGATAGAGGTTGGACTCCTTGGTGACAATGTTGAGAGTGAGACCAAAATCCACTCGGACTTCCCCAGTAACTTCTGTTCTGATCTGGAAAGGAGTATTTTTGAAGGGCTATGACTTTTTTGTCTGCTTTTTTCTCTTCCTGGTGAAAACACATTAGAATTTGTTGGAGCCCTATTCCCCCACCAAACAAAGAAATCTATGAGTCCTATTGAGAAGACCCCTGCCAGGGCCATGGTTCCCCCTCCCCGTTGTTTCTCTCCAGTGAAAGTCTCCAACTGCCCATGCACACAGCAGAGCTGAATTCATGTGCTTGCGAGAATGTGTGCGTGTGTTGGGAGGGAAGGAGGTAGAGATTTTTTTATCTGTGGCATATTATGCTCTTTATACTTTAACTGAGGAAGGTGTAGCATGTCTGTTCCTCCCAAGACTTTGAGAGGGAACTGGAGGAAGAAAATGGAGAATATCTGAGTAACAGTTTTGCATCCATGATGCAAGATGGTTATGTTAGCAGCTGCCACCCTGTATTGACTCACTCCAGCTGAACAGTTGTTCCTCTCCTGGTTTAAGAGTCAGGGTACGTCTGTACAAATTTAGTGGGAGCCACCAAATCTCCCGTGGGAAGTTTTAAATCCCTCTTTGCTACTACAGCCCCCCAAAATTGGCCCAGGACAAGTCCCTGAGCAGTTGTCTTGCTTTGTTTCTGTTTCAGAACAAGATCTTCTTCGTCAGGAACTGAACACCCGCTTCTTGGCCTCGCAGAGCGCGGACCGCGGGGCGTCGCTCGGCCCGCCGCCCTACCTGCGCACGGAGTTCCACCAGCACCAGCACCAGCACCAGCACACGCACCAGCACACGCACCAGCACACCTTCACGCCCTTCCCGCACGCCATCCCGCCCACCGCCATCATGCCCACGCCAGCACCGCCCATGGTGCGTACCCCAGGCAGAAATGTGAGGATAAGTAGAGCACAACTCTATTCTTTATTACAAAATTAATAATAATAACAATATGTGCAGTTAAGGGGAAGGAAAACAATGTTGCCTAGGTATTGTTGGGCAGGAGAGGAAGGGCTGTATCCCTTCCTCTTGGTTCTTGCATGTGTGACAGGTTCAAGTGGCAGTGCGGAGGCTGAGGAGCGAGGCCTGCTGACCAGGGACACTACTACTTGGGACCTTGTAGTGTCTGAAACGGTGGCACCTCGGTGCCAGCTCCTTTTTCCTGCTCCATAAAGACCTTTTCTTAATTGAAGCAAGAAAACTCCAAACACACTCCCAGCGAAACTAATTTCCTGCGTATTTCTTTCTCTCTGTTGGTTGCCAAGTAATAGAAAAGTAGTTTTCTATTTTACCAACAGAAGTGAGGCAACGAAATATAAAGTAACTAGTTTGTGCTTTGATCCCTTTGCAGTTTGACAAATACCCTACAAAAGTTGATCCCTTCTACCGTCACAGTGTGAGTTTTATTACCCTGTTTAAAACTGACTTAATTGCTTTTCTGTGGTGGGATGGGATCACCACTCAGTAAATGACAGAATGGTGAATCTCTCCCTAATCATCACTCCAGGATTTACCATTATCGTTCTTGGTTGCTTTGGCTTTTGAAGGCTTGCCTTTGTCATGCTTATTTCTGAAAAAGATGCAGTATCGTCTTTTCTAATCAAAAGATCTCTTGCTTATACACAAGATCTCTTGCTCATCAAGTCTGATGTGAAAAAGAGACAGAAGAGCTGACTGTGTTACATGAAGCAGGAGGTATCAGTAATTTCATCACTGTGTTTCAGTTGTGCCACAAACTGTTAGACTCATCTTTTTCTTAAGAAACTTGACAAACTGTCATACAAATCCTTCAGGGATAGGTAATCTAATAGTTTTTCTAATATATCATATTTTGTTTTATAAAATCTGAAAGCTTGTCTTATCTTTCAGATTTCAAAGGCACATCTGATCCACTGGGCTTGTTAGATTTTGAAATCTCTGTTTCATGTCAGTATTATGAATCTAGCTATGCATTTCATGTTTATTTCAGAGCTACAAAAAATATGTTCTGTGTGAATAAGTAAATGAATTGTTTTTAAGGGCTAGTTAATTGTAAAGCTTCTGTTCTTAAGGGTTTGAACCCACTGATTCTTTTGCTTCTGAAACATATGTTACACTTCCTTCAGTATATTGGCAGAGGCAGGTACCTGAATGAATATGCAGAGAATTTCTAAATCCCATAGTGATGTTTTGATGAGGGAAGGGGTGCTGCATCAGCATTCAGAAATTTGCAAAGCACTTGGCTTTCTGTGTTGTTTTTGCTTAGAAGTGGAACTGGGCAAAAAAAACTGGCGAGGACAACAGTGTGATGCTTTCTGTTGCACTGAAGAGACAGTTCCTGCTAACGACTCATGCCCAGAGTACATGGGAATGAACCCATTCATTTTGGAGTCCTTGTTTGGGTAACTGTAACGGCATGGACGTTTGCAGGATCACAGCAGTAGGAGCACTGGGCAAACATTTAAGCCTGTGATAATCGCTTTTACTGAAAAGGGCGAAGCTGCTGATCTGCATCATTGTTTGCAAAATTGCACTCTTATTTGCTGCGCTTTACATGGATTCTTGGGATAGATCATTGTCAACATGGTGTATTGCTTCAAGCAGGAACAGGGAACTGGGAAGTAGGTGAATGAATTTTAGACAAATAAAGCACAGACGTCAACACGCAGCATGGGAAACACTGAAAGAGTTACCTGCTATGTGCATTGTCCAAATCCACACAGAGACACTCTGTCAGAAATACAGCAGTTAAGTGAATCCTGTCGCGCTAGCCCGCGGCCTCGGCTTGGAGAGCGGCCTGGTCAATGAGCCAGGCTGCTGCACGTGCTGGAGCTTCGGCAGCAGAGATCTGGCCCGTGACGCCTCCAGCTCCCTTCCTTCTGGAGGATATTTGTGCTAATGGAGGTGTTGCACAATGATCACTATTCTGTGTGTTGGGTATTTAACGAAGCTGTTACAAGAAGATCAGTGTGATGGCTACAGGTCATGTTGTTGGACTATAGTAAGATCATAATAGCATAGCACATTTCAGTGTCTCTTCTAGTATGGAAGAAATTACCTCAAATATTGATAATGGAGGCAAAAGATGAACTACTTGTATCAGTTTCTTGATCAGCTGCGTTGTCAGAAAGTATAATTCTGCCTCAAAGACTGTAGGATCAGGAGAATAGTTCACATATAAAGTATTGTAGAGCTTTAAAACAGATTTCCTTCTTGGCATCTCTCATTTTACTCTCTTTTCTTTTGGGGAGGACTTTAGCATAGGGAAGAATTACTTTTACCTAGAGATAACCTGCTCCAGGGGAGCTGTGGATTCTAAAATTTCACCTGAGAAAGCTGGAAGGGAAAAGTGCTGCTCAAAAGAAAGGAATGCTGGGGTAAGAGGAGACACTGGCTAAGAAAAATGTGTTTTAAAAGCTTGAGGAATTAACTGATGCAAAGATATCATGGAGATACAATCCTTCCATTTTGTGAATAATTGTAACCTTGAGGGAAGGTCACATTTAATTAACTTACCAGTTGTTGTAAAACTCTGAGGAAAGCATTCCTTATTATTAGTCACAGCCAATAGAATATTAAGTATTATGTCTCTTTCCATCTTTTGAAACTAGTCCATTACACACAGAATTAAATGCAGAAGACACTGGAGGATTTAAAACACATTTTAGTCATTAAAAGTTATTGTAAATGAGGACATGTGTCTCTTAATGAGTTCTGAAATGCCTACAGTTCACTATCAACTAATCTAAAAATGTTTTCTGCCTCACTGAAAGGAGTGGGTCCAAGTTAAATAGAATTACAAACAACAATAGAAACATATTACGAAATACCTTCATCTCATCCTTTTAAACTAAGAAATATATTTGATACTTCTAAAGTGCTGAAATATTTTCTCAGCTCTCAGTAGCTCTAATAGGAATAAATGACCTTAAAGAAGCTAATGGATGGAAAAAGGCTTAAGAAAAACTCATGCCCATAAACAAATTGAGCAAAACTTTGTGATACTGATCTACTCTGGAGCACAATTTTCTCAGCGTTCGCCTGTTCCACATGTCCAGTCCTTTGCCCAGTCCTGCTTCTAGTCAATTGGCCATTAACTCATTTATTTTGATCTTAAAAGTAGCATACAGTAGCATACAGTACAGAGCTTTGCTGAGCACTTCAGCATCTTCTGTGCTTAGGGTGCAACTGAACTAACCACGCCGAAACACAAGAAGAAGAGTCACAACCACGTCACAGAAAGATGATTTGGACATTAGTATGGGTTGCTCTTGTCCCCCCCCCCATTTACTTTTCTGCATTAGCACAGAATAGCTTTTTTGGCCAAGTTGTTTCAAAACAACTGATCTCTGCTGAGATCAGGACCATCAGTGGAGACATGCACCTTCCTATGCCTAATGAGCTGTCCTTACAAGAAGAATGCCCCAAATTTTAACAGGGGAGTCTGCCTCCACTACTTGTCTAAATAATAATTTTTAACAAATCAGATTGTCTCCTCTCTGCTGGTATTAGTTGTGACAGAATATCCTCTCAGACAGGCTAATGAAGTAAGAATTGTGCATAGTTTCCTCATTTCCTGCAGAAACTATTAAAATACTAAAGCTCTAATGGAGTTTTAATGATATAATATCCTAGAACTCATAAGGGGTTTTTTTCCACTTAAAATGGTAGTTTACTGGGTCTCATGTGGCATAACAGTCTGCCTTTTCTCTTGAAATGGTTTACAGACTGAAACCATTTAAAACACATATCCAATTTAAAAATTAATATTTGCCAAAAAAATTCTCTCTTACACTATGTTGGCCTAGTCAAGGAGTAGTTTTCTGGCTATATCATTTTGGAACTGCTTTTAAGTTCTAAAATAAGCGTCATGACATTTGTGAACATTTCATTGACTGCTTTAACTAACATTGTTGCAATGAAATCACTTCTTCAGTGCTTCTCGATTTGCTCCATGTATCATTACCTTCCTGTTCTGCAGGATTGCTTTCGCTGCCTTGTTCCCATTCGTGTCCTCATTTTGAAGTTAGTGCCCCCATATTTATGTTGTTTTATCTTTTTGTTACAGCTGTTTCACTCCTATCCTCCAGCTGTATCAGGTATTCCTCCCATGATTCCTCCAACTGGCCCTTTTGGCTCACTACAGGGAGCATTTCAACCCAAGGTAAAAAAAAAAAAAAAAAAAAAAAAGTGATTATTTTTATTTGTATATCTGTTACTATTCAAATGCACCAGTGTTGTGATCCCCCTTAGATTTAGGCTTTGAATTTACTTCAGATTCTGGAACAGTAAATTCTCCTGGGCAATAAATTGATTTGAGTTACAATAACCTAATTCCACAGAGGAGAATTGGCTTTTTCCAAATTCACTGTGAAGGGAAGTTATTAGTCGTTAGGTTCAGATACATCTACACATAGAATTTTTTAAAAAATACATAGTGGCATAGTTAACTTCAGAAGCAAAATAATTAGCTCCCAGAAACATACGCTAATGTAAGGTCATGGAATAATCATGATTTAAAAAAATGATGATTATTATTGTTTACTCATTTACATAATTATCTCTTAGCTTCACTGTAATGCAATACAGTGATTTAGTTCTCCTGTCATCTGTGGTAGCTAAAAATGATGTGTTTTGTTCCTTTTTTTCTTTTGTTTTTGTCAAGTCACTCTTGATTTATAAGTGGGAAGAAATCAAGTTCTGTAGCCTGTAGTCTTTGCAACCGAAGACTGACATCAGGCCTGAAATTTCTGTGGAGACACCTTCCCTCTTAAATTGCCCCATCCACTCTAATGACTGAATATGTAAATTGCAGTTCATTAGTGGAATTCTTCATATCTATGGTAATCAGACTGTTAACAACTCTGCTGCTAATTGTTAGTTATCCTGCGGCTGATTTCTTTCTTGTGCTTTATAATGTAGAAAGATGCTCTAAGTTGATTTTTTTTCTCCAAAAGATGCATTTTGTTAGATCAGCTGAATATTTACACTCAAGGCATAGGAAGAGTTTGATTTTGTTCCACTGGATGTTTCCTTTTCCTGATATCTGTGTCTTAGCAATTCATTGTTGATGGGGAGAACATTGGAGAGCAATGGAAGTTTGAAAATTGAGATGGTAGTACATGCTAAGTGATGATAACAGTTATGATTTGCTGTTAAAAATGTCTTCATTGCTTAATCATTGTTAATTATAAGGAAATATTCATTACTTATTTTTTTTTTCCATAATATTTTACTCATTAATGCCTTCTTTCCTTGCGATGTTTCCAGACTTCCAATCCTATTGATGTTGCAGCCAGACCTGGAACCGTCCCACATACCCTTCTACAGAAAGATCCACGGGTCTGTAGAAAATGTTCTGTTTCTCTAGAGTAAAGCTATTCCTGAACATCCTGAATGCCAGAACTGCCATCTTTGGTATGCCCAGATTGTCACCTTAGTACTGAGGCTTGGCCTGAACTACTGAAGTCATTGAGAACTTCAGTATTTTTGTGAGAACAACTCAGAAATTAACCATTATTTCTATGTATCATTAGAAAAAGCAAATGGAGTCAATGCAATGGAGGAGTTCCTCCCTTTCTGTTACTGGGCATCCCTAAAACCTCGAGAGTAAAGGCATAAAGCCCAAATCAACTTTGAAATGTTCAGACCTCTTCGAGATTTATGTTTATGCTCTGTAATTGTTTTTTAATGTGGGTAATGACAGTTATTCCCTTGCTTACTGTCTTATTGATTGCACCAATGAAATACAGATGCACTTTATTGATCTTTGGTGCCATTGTGTTTTTAAGTTCTGGTGTTTGTGAACAAAATTTGTTGTCTCAGCACTTAATCTTTTAGCTTTTTTTTTTTTCCTGTTCTTTGTGATTATCAATGGGTCGGTTGTGTGGCTGAGTTAATACACATTGATTGCGATAAGGAGCATCTTATTTTTAGCAGAACACTGACAAAAGCAACAGGGAGCTCTCCTGAAAAAATCCATGCTGATATGCCTCAACTTTAAAGTGGTGCAGCACTATTTTCTTTGAGTTGTGCCAATCCCAGTAGTTTTGTTTGAGCTGGTGCTGTAGTTGGGCTTTCTACCAAAAGAACCCATGTATTTTTGTGTCTGTTCTTGCCATTTAATGGAAGAGATAATGATAGGCTCCCTCCATTAAGTCATTTAGCTTTATGCTTCCTTTCACCTACTAGTGTACTTTCGATTCTTGGGAGATAATGTATAGTGCCATCAGTGAGGCTGCAAAGAACCTTTTATGCCTATAAATCTCCTTCCCCTTTCAGTATTGAGTTTTAAGAAAGAGCATCCAAACAAACCAGAAATATCAAATGAATTTATTTTTCATTATTAATTGTTGAAGCACGAGCAAAAAGAAGACAGTAAAAATAACCTAGCAGAAAAATCCCAGTCCATTGGAAAAATAATAATGAAAAAAGTGCTTTTTATACAGACACTTGTTTATCTGCATCTGCTCCAGTGTAAAAGACACATAAGTCAAAGCCGCTCCCCGGCAGAGAAACAGGCAGGAAAACAGAAAAACTCAGCACTGTGGTTTTAAAGGCACTGGTAGAGCACCCAGGGGCAGCAGACGCAGCCACTGGTTTGTAGGGGCCCATCCAAAACACCCCTCAACCTCCCTGCGTTTCTTGCGTCTGCACGGCTTGGGAAGGCGAGAACACAAGCTTGCCCACGGGACGGAGCTGCGTTTTGCTTCAGATTAGTTAACCAGCCATTTTTGTAGCATTAAATCAACAAATTAATGCTGATGCCGGAGGATAAAACGCTCTGTGGGAGGCTTGTTTAGTTGCTTGTCAACACTTAGGTACAACAGTCATGGGGGGAGGGAGCCTGGCTCTTCCGTGGAGGCTACTGCCTAATTATTATCCAAAAGGGCTTCATTTGAAAGTAAAATGATAACATTTTAATTTCATCTCTTAATGAAGCAATACAAATTTGTTAATTAGCGCAATTGTTTGAGTGACAGGCATGTAACCAAGCTGTCATTTCTTCTTCACAGTTGACAGATCCGTTCAGGCCCATGTTGAGGGTAAGAAATCTTCTCGTGTTACAGTTTGTCAAGCTTGTCTCGGTCCCCACCGGGTTAAAGCAGCAAACTAATTATGAAGAGATGCTGCGTTTCATCTGGGGGCTTTTGCACTTTATGTGATGCTCAGTGTGGTCAGCCCTTTGCATGCATCTTGTGATTGTCTGAGGAAAATGTGCAGTTTTAAAACTGGAAGTTGCATGTTGTTATTGTGAGTAAGACTTCTGGAGGTTAAATACGGATGCCTCGCAAGGTTTCCACAACCAAACCTGCAGACCGTCTCCTCCCTTGACATTTCATTGCAGGGTGGAGGATATTTTTAATGTAGGTTGTTGATGCTTCCGCGTGGTGCTCAGGATGGTCCTGTCACTTAATGCTATTACTGATATATCAGTAATTGTGTTATGATCAGACCATCCAGGCCATCTTACATAAACATCTTAGATAAAGCATGAAAAAAATCCAGTCTTACAGCCATTCTAAATCTTTTTTTGAATATTTTTTGCAAGTATTGGAGGTCTGGATTTTGATCGTGGAAACCAAATGAATTCCTTAAATCACTATTGTGCCCAATCACAGTGAATAAGCAAAAGCCTTGAATTGGTATGTGTGTCCACAGGCACGTGGGAGGTTGGTTTTATGTTTGATTGTGGTTTAGATGGTTGGTTGATGTACGTCTTGCAGGTGTACAGAGCCTAGGCACCGGCTGTGCTGCATTTAGGATATCAAGAGCTTGAGGAATTCCCTGAATCTAACACATTTAATTAAATGCGATTGTTTTTAAGTGTATGCAGGAAACATTAAGCATGTGGTTACATATAGATAGGTGCCGAATTAACTGGAATGGGGAGAGTTTGCCCTGTATGAGTCCTTTCCAGACATGATTTCCAGGTGTTCTGAATTGAGTACAAAATCCACGGAAAAGCCAAATAGCATTTTCTGGCTCTCTTCTCCATGATTTAAAGCATGCTGCCAGGAGGGATGCAAAGAACCAGGTCAAGCCATTTCACCTTCCCAAAGGGTGTGTATGGATGGACTTCAAAAACTTTCCAGTATAGTCTTCAGCCAAAAATTTGGGGGTACAGGCCAGCAATTCTATGAGGGAGTCAAATTCATTTTGAAAAACAGATTGATCCTCTTAGGTGCTTTTATTTTCATCACTCGGGGAAAGTCTAGTACTGGAAAATTTACAATTTTAGAAATGAGCTTCACTTACAGTTGCAAAATGGTCTGCCTGTTCAGAGCAGCTGCTGATGGGTTGTGGTTTCTGCATCCCAAGCCACAGCTGCAGTCAGGAGCATCAGAAGGTGGCAGGAGTGCACGGAACAGGAGCATGGGTTCCTGGAAACCCAGGAAAACTTGTAATCGGGGCACAAATCCTCTGCGTGTTCCCAGGGAGGACAGAAGGAGAAGGCACTGAAGGGTGCCCCTTGATTTTGCACGGGCTTGGTGTGTCCCCTACCCCAAAGCAGACAGAGCTGAGAGCCAGCGAACCCAATTGCTCTGCCAGGTTCTCAGCCCTCAGCCCATGCTGGCCTGGGAATTGGAGCAGCCAGGGTAGGGGGGATGCCCTGGCCATCCCCAGGGCCACATGGGCTGAGGACATCAGCCGCCACCAGCCAGTGCAAGCCCCAAACTTTAGGGAGGAACCAGCTAGTGGGATCCAGTTTCTTGCCAGGCTTTTTTGGGATGCAATGGAGAGCTGGAGCAGGAGAGCCCTGGAGTGTTTTCTCCTGAAAAGTGGTTTACCCATGATGAGGTCTGAGTAGAGTTCCTTTTTTTTATTTTTTTAAGAAAGACATCTAACTTCCAGCATTTGTTGCTTTTAACTAGAATAAAGCATCACAAGTCTTTGAAAGTTACTGATTTATGTCATATCTCTTTTTTTTTTTTTTTTTCCAGAAACCTGACAAGTGGTGCGCTATGCATGTTCACATTGCCTGGCAGATATACCATCACCAACAGAAAGTCAAGGTTAGTCCTGGCACACGTGTGTTGGAGGCACATTGCACAGAGCAAACCACTGAGAGGAGGAGGTTTTGCCTTTCACTGCTAGCCATGGGTCCTGCCTTCTTAAAAAAGCAGTGCATAACACTACAACCTAACCTGCCGTTTTGTCATGATGGCGTGCCTCAAATTGAAAAATAAAAGGTGATGTCTCAAGGAAATACCTAAGATGCTAGGCCGCAAGGAGCCCAGTTTTTCTGTGCTAACCAGTTTGGAGCTAGAAAGAGGTAAATGAGCTACAGTATTTATTTTATTTATGGATGAGGACATGAAGATACCAAGATTACATTTTCTTAAATGGTCCAGAGACACCGGGCTAGGTCTCTCTTTCCTCTTCCTGATGATCTAGGGCATGAGGCAGCACAGGGAGGCTTCTCCCCGCGAAACTGGGAGTAGCTGGGCTGGGCAGGTGGGTACATCACACACTGATGGTAACCAGGCACTGTCAGACTGCACCGAAAGGGTAGAAATAATTTCTTTGTTTTACACACTTGAGGATTCTTGTTACGTGGTTTCAGGTGATGCAGATAATGTGACCTTGCTGTTATGGTGGCTTGATAGGGCCAACCGAGGCTCTCCCCTGAAGCATATGTAATATACTCATTTAAAAATTAGGATTATTTCCATTGTTACCTTAACTCTGTTTTTGTTGCACTAGGACTTTGCGGAGGTTTTCTTCCCATTAAAATATTTCCACTATAATTGCCACTGAAAAATTGCATGTTGCTCCTGAATTCGTTAGCTAGTTATGAGTCAATAGAGGTCAGTGTTTGCTCCTGTTCATATTTCTGCTTTGGAGGTCAGTAGTTTGTGTTAGGAGGTAAGATTAACAGGGAGTCTATAGCATTTTGCAGTATGTGTATCCAAGTGAATTGTGTAAGACAGAGCTGTACGAATATGAAGATGTTGAACAGCTACTAAAACTCGCAGCTAATAGAGTTTAAAAATAACCCTTTTAAACAAGGTTGACAGGTTAATTTGCTGCAGTAGATGTATCTTTCTTCTCTGCTTCCTTATGTTTCCCCTGTTAGTGATCTTCATTCATCTTCCCATTATCAAAAAAGACAAGATTATAGACCCAGAGAGTTATATGCTTTTTTTTTTATTTTATTGAAAAGGTATTTTCTAGAAATTAAATTATTATTCCCATGTTATCTACATCCTTTGAATCTTCTTTGATTCAATATTCAGAGAGAGGTCATGCTGAGGTATTATAACTCTTAGTAAATGCCATTTTCCTGCTGCCATTGGTTTTAGCTAAGACTTTTCTGCTCTTGCCTGTAGGAAAAAAAAAACAAAAATAAGATAATGGCCAGAAGTGCAGGAAAGGATTTTATTTGACTTTGTGAGGCTGCAGATGACAACAATTTCAGGAATAACTGGGATATGTATTCATCATTCCGATTTGGCTGCAGCGGATAAGCCAAGTGGGATGAAGTCAGTGAGTCATCGGACTCCCATGCAGAAGCAAAGTCCTCTCCTCTCTGCGCAGCCTGGAAGGGTGAAACCTCCATGACTGGAGGCAGAAAGGCAACTTTTCAACACAACCCTCCTGACCCCAGGAAAAATCACTTGCAGCTGTAGATGCCATTCACCTGCTCGAACCCTGCAGCAAGACTTGTGTAAACTGTGTGCACCCCCAGGGAATTCCTCAGATCCAGGGTCAAACACAGTTTCTGGGCCCAAAGTGATTGTCCTCTGCTTCTTGGACTGAGCAGCATGTTGCTGTTAGGGCCTGGATTCAAGCGGGAATTTATGCACCATAACTGGCCCGCTCTTTTAGGAAAGGACTTACGATCTGAGGTAACATGGCGTGAAATTAGTGCAGACATTTGCATTGATTTTAGTGGACCTGGAATTAAGATGTTACACATTGGCTGGACCTGAAAGACTTTCATAAGGATTATCACAAAGAGGCTTGCTCTTCTGGACATAAAATGGGTGTAAGATAAATCTGAACCATTTTCTTTTGTATCATTTTTAAGTAAACCAATACATTCGAATTCTCTTAACATGCCGTGATATTCCTGTTCCTCTTGAGATAGGGGGTTCCTTCATTATTAGGACAGCACCATTCATATGGCTGCAATTAAAATTCTAGTTGGCTCTTCTTATTTTGGAGTAGTGCTTGTCCAGAGGCTTGTAACTTGGTTGTTTAAAAAAAGAATTCATAGCATAAAATATCCAGTACACAGGCTTCAACTGAAATATTTGTGGTTTTGGAAGTTTCTTCAATTATTCAAGCATTACTGGACTACTGAGGATGCACCCCTAAGGTTTATGCAGGACATGCCCCTGCACTAGAGCATTTTTTGCATTTCAATATTTTTGAAGCCGATTATCTCCAAAGAGTGAAAAACCCCCTCTTTGTTCTTTTTGTGTTCTCATAGCACCATAGACATGTTATTAGCACTTGCAAAACAGCTACTAGGCATGCACATTAACTTGGTCATAACTTTTTAATATGCATATTTATATCATTGTAATGGTCTGTTACTCTGAGCTGGCACAGTATTAAATATTGATTTATAAAGCGTAGCATGCTCCAGAATTACTGTTAATATCTACTGATTCAGTGTTAGACATTTGTAAATCCTTTCAACTGACCTGCACAATTAATCAGCAATCTGTGTTTAGGGAGTTCTGACAACGGGGGTAATTGGGAATTTGGTTTTCTTCTTCGTTCTATAAAACTATTGAAGTAGAGACCACCAAAGTGAATATTTGTCACTAAAAAGAGCCCATCCTTCATCCACCTATTATTTTCAGTACAGCCACCTCAGCAGAATTATCATAAAAAAGGAAGTCAGCTCAACTGCAGTATCATACAAATAAAGAGGAGGACGCAAGTGCTTTGAGTTTGGAAGGCAAGCGGTCAAACGGCGCTGCAGGTCTGTAGACAGTGATAAACTGCGTCTGCAGCTTGGTTCATTTTAGTCCCTAGCTTGCTCGGTTGCACCCTGAGAGGCACTGAGAGCACATCAGATGTTTCTGGGTTTTGGCTTCACATTTAATGTTTCTAGTGTCTGTTGACTTGGCATTGCCTTAACTTTCTAGCAAGTGCTTCATGCAGTTGGAAGATGGTCATTGGCAGCTGTGCCTAGTAGCAGTTGATGCTTTCACCCTCCTGTTAACATGCCTGCCCACCCAGGATTAAGTCCAAATCAACATTTCATTCTAGCTTTGCTTTTTTATTATTTTAAGATAGACTGATGCTTATGGCTAAACACGTATTGAAAACCTCTTTGTAGATGTTTATGCTCATCCTTAAAGTTGGGTCTGTGCCGAAATGCCTTGCTCCAAAGGGGTGGATGTGAGCATATTTAAAGACACTCTGCTGAACCTTACAAGAAACATCCATTGGGAGCCTGAGGTTCTCTCTATTTTGGATTCTCCCTTCCACTAGAATAGCTGTGCATCTATCCAGGGGCTTCGGCATGAACACTGTTGGTAAAACATCAGTTACTAGGAATAAATTGCTTTGCTTACATTATCATGAAAGTGCCTTTTAGGACAGTCTCCTCCAAATCCTGCTTTTATATTTCAGAAACAGATGCAGTCGGACCCGCACAAGCTGGACTTTGGCCTGAAACCTGAATTTCTGAGCAGGCCACCAGGTCCCAGCCTGTTTGGAGCCATCCACCACCCCCATGACCTGGCCCGGCCCTCAACTCTCTTCTCTACAGCCAGTGAGTACTGCGAAGTGAAGTCTCCTTCTTGTGGTGCACACATTAAAACACTGATCCTAGCCAGGCTAACAGAGAGTTTCCCAGGTGCTTTGGCTTGTGTGGCTCTCTGCAAAGCATGCCAGGGGCTGTTAAGTCTACTTGATACATATTCTGAAATGATGCTATAATTTTAAGCAGTGTGCTGAAATGCCGTTACACGTTGTAAATGGAGGAACATTTCACACAGTGGTATGTGATGCATCATGGAGGTGACAGGTTGGAAATATGCTGTAGATCTTGTATGCTCTTTTTTTTTTCCACACCTCCTTACACTCCAGATGGGAATTTCTGTTCAGAAAGGGGGCTGTGATTTGCATGGGATCCTAACCTGAAGAACCCCTGCAACAGAGTTTGTCTCCTTGGTGTAGGGCAACGTCTGCTCACATGAACGATCGTTTAAGTGACAGCGGAGCCCAGTGCATATTGGGTCCCTCTCCACGTTCTCTGCTAGGAATTCACCCCATTGCTTTGTTTTGGCAGGTGGGGGTCATCCGGCCGGCACCCCTTTCGGCCCTCCTCCTCACCACAGCAACTTCCTCAACCCAGCTGCTCACTTAGGTAAGCGCAGTTGCAGATTCACTCTGTAAATAACTACCCACCAATACAACTCAGAGAAACCTTCCTTCCTGCCGTGCTCTGCTGTGGCCTCTTACACTGGAAGTACCCCCTGAACTGCCAACTGGTTCATTTGTTCTTTCGTTACCCAAAAGCAAGTAGGTCCTTAGGGTCTTGTGATCTGGCCTTGAATCTTGTGATCTGGACTTGGTTAGTCAAAAACAGCAAAAGGGCATTTCAGAAAGGATGCATTCAGGTCACCAAATGTTGCTAGTTAATAAGGCAGTCTGCTGCTTTGAGGGGCCTCAGAGATCGAGACTCTAATTTGGTATCATATTTTGCACAGGGAATGACTTGGCAGGGTCACCATGCTGACACAACAAACTCCTGACGTAGGTTTGTCATTCTGCACGAGCATCTATGGAGCTGCCCTTAGAATATGCTATGCTTGCCCTTCCTCTTTCGTCTGTTCTAATTAATATTTATCAATAATAGTGTCATCGAAACCATTAAATTCACCAAAAATGAGAGAAGAGGTTGTTTCGTACAACTTTCCCAACAGATCAGATAAGCCACCTGTATTCTATATAGCTTAGCTACTAAAACCCAACATTTTCTTTTCAGATTATATACCAGTTTTTCTTACAGAGTTAGCAGTAAGTATCAAGAGCATTGCAAAATGTTCAGCCCACCGTGACATATCAATAGAACTGGACATTTTACTTGTATCCTGACTACAGCTTAGGCCATGTGAGTGAGGCAGTCTAAAGGTGCTCTGCACAGGAGTGCCAGAGTTAATAGCGATAGAGCCTTGCTAGTCAGGGACACTTCCCAAGGAAAGCCATGAAAGAAATTGGAAGGAATTAGAAGTGGAAGTGAGTAAAAGGGAATACAAGTGGTTAGAGATTTAAAATGAATTGTCTTTTGCTGCAGCATAGTCCTTAACAGCTTGTTTTTGTTTGAAGTCCATTTTTTTCCCCTAGTAAGCTGATGCCATGTGTACCAGCAGAAAAAAAAAAAAGATTATTTTATTTTTCCCCCCCACCCTTTTCAAATGCCACTGTGTTGTGGGAGGACAATACTCAGCTAGTGCTGGACACAGACCTAATGCAGCTGGGTGACACCCCAGGGCTGTCTCACCGTCAGCAGCGTGTCAGGGAGCTTCACGCGTTTCCGTTGCTTTGCAGAGCCTTTCAACCGCCCGGCGTCGTTCAGCGGGCTCACGGCAGTGGGCAGCAATGCCTTCGGGGGACTCGGCAACCCGACAGTTAGTGAGTAACCTCTTTGCTTACGAATTCTTGTTTGCTGTGTAATTCAGGATATTGAGTGGTGGTGATTGCTGTCTTTTTTACCAGTTGCTTACATCACATACTTGCAATGGATGGGTATCTGAAAAACGCTTCTTTTTTTTTCTTTTAAATAGCAACATCTTTTGGTCATTAGTAAAGTATTTCCTATTAGTTTCTTGTAAATTGGGTTCAATATATTGCTAAATGTCACTGTTGCATTCTTTAGTCCAAAAAGTTAAAAATAAGAACCCATAAGTTTAAAGGAGTTTGTAAAATCCTTTTGGGTTTGTTGCATGGTCAAAAGCAGTTAATGTGCCCTGCTTACTGTAATCCCTAGCTATGGATGAGAACTTTGTTTTTGTTTTTGTTTTTTCCTTTCTCACCAGTAATTCAGGACATGTGCCTGGAAAAGATCACTAACCTGCATTTATTTGTCCAGGATCATCAACATTTCTCTAGATTTGGCCAGTCACAAAAGACCATCCTTTTAAAGATCGCTCTCTTTCTCCATGCTTCAAATCTGGCATGATTTTGGTCACGTTATTTTACTTTGGTTCAGGATCAAATGCAACAAGTTGCATTATTTATATTCAGTATTTCTGGTCATTTCCTGGTGTTTTTAAAGTATTTGGAGTAATTGCAGTGTTATCCTAATAACTTCATCCCTTGTCGATTTTATCCACAGAATTTCCCCTTCCAATTATAACAGCTGTCAGATGCCTACCCATTTTTAGGAATGAGACCCTCTAATGAATCTCTGTTAATTTCCTTTCCTTTTCCAGCTCCCAATAATATGTATTCATTTTAACTCTGAGTGCTGTAAAGTTTTTTTGGTAAGTACCTTCACTAGAGCATACCTTTTTCTTAAACCTTTTTGTTTTCCACTTCACCATTTCAGCACCCAACTCAATGTTCGGCCACAAGGATGGCCCCAGTATGCAGAGCTTTAGCAACCCTCACGAGCCCTGGAACCGGCTGCACCGAACTCCTCCTTCGTTCCCGACCCCTCCGCCCTGGCTGAAGCCAGGAGAGCTGGAGCGCAGTTCATCTGCTGCAGCTCATGACAGAGATAGAGATGTAGATAAACGAGACTCATCTGTTAGTAAAGATGACAAAGAAAGGTACGAAAGAACACTTCCAAGAATTGTCTAGTTCAAAGCGTGGGGCTCTGTTCCGCTTTTAACCCTTCCCAGCCTGGCACATTTTTAAACCAGAGCTTCGGTAGAGAAGCACCTGCAGAGCTAACACAATCCTTGCCTATGACGCCAGGCTGCCACTGTGGAAGACAGAGATTTCCAACTCAGGTGTTCCCTGCTGCAACTGTTTCTCTTTTTGCTTCCACCACAGCTCATCAGAAGCAGTTTTGCTGGAGTCGAGTTCAGCCAGTGTCAAGCGCGAAGAGAATCAGACCCATAAGATGTGTTGCCTTGGGGGGTCACATTTTCATAGGTCTTTTGAAGACTCAGCATGTAGACAGGTGTCTGGCAGGATTAAAAAAAAATCAAGATTACAAATTCTGTCAGACACTTATCTGCACCTTTGGATGCTTAAATGCCTTTGCAAATCTGACACTAACTGCAAAACAAGTCCCCTTCCCCAAAAATTCAACTGACCAGAGGGAGCACTGCTAAAGTTGTTATTGGAGCATTAGAAAATGCACTCCATTGGTATGTCCTGTTCCAAGACTACAGTAAGTTTCAGTGCTTGCAGTTTATTAAATCAGCCCTACACCCCCTCAAAAAAGCCACACACACTCATGCACTGCTGTCACACAGCTCTAGGCACAGCTTTTACTCAATGTTTTACATGGACTTGCACTCTAACATGTCCAGGCTGGGAAGGGTTAATGAAAAGTAAAATCTGGTCATATTTTTTTTTGTCAGGACTGTTCCCATTATACAGTTAACTCAGTAACAATTCCTCTTAACATTTAAGTACCAAATTATAAGAATTTGCCATTCAGCAAGTGTCATGCCTTCCTTGAAAAAGTGCAGAGAGGCTGATTTCAGCTTTGTCAGTTGTGGCTTAATGGCTCTCCTGTTAAGTTTGCGCAGTACTTTACTACATAATGGCTATTTGTTTCTAATTTCTTAAAGTAAAAGAATATTTAGGAGACATGCTTTCTGACTTCTCTGTCACTAACACAAATATACGCCTTAGTAGCCTTTTCTAAAAGAAGTTATGCTAACACATTAGATATTCTAAAAATACATTTAAGAGCTTTTCTATATTATTCTAAAATGTGAAGAGCGAGTCAAACTACAGATCTTTTCACCTACATTTCCATTTGGAATATTTTCTGTTTGGTAGCATAGCTTCATTATTTTCATGTCTGGTTTTAACACTTCAAAATAAATTACTGTCAAAATTTGGGGATTTTGTCCTGCAAAATGCTTAAGCATGTGAGTAACTTTACTGGCTTGAATGGCAAAGCATTTTTGTTACTAATGACATGAGTAGACTGTAGAATTATGTGATGATTTCAGTTGCTCTTTTGTTGTTTTGTTATGAAGTGTTCCTACTGAAGAAAATCCCTTTCAGAAATATATTCCTTGCAAGCTGCTTTGGCATTGCCTGAACTCCATATCATAGATCAAACATTTTTCTTTTTAATAATTTGAGATCTTTAAAAAGAAAAGAGCGTCATTCATACTTCATACTTCTGCACAACTACAGCTGCCAGTTTAGTACAGTAATGTTGTTGCTGATCGAGTATTGCTGTGCATCCCCATCAGTGTGGTTTTCCAGGAGTTCTACTTTGCAGCATGCTCGCTCTGTTGCCTGTATGAGAAGATGCTGAAAGTTGCTTCACGGAACCCTTCTGTCTGTGCAGATAATGTCTGTGGTAGCTTGGGAGCTTCTCGTACCTATTCCACCTCCAGCAGCACCTAGCAGCGTGGGGACGTAGCTTCGCTTTCTAGTTGAGGTCCCAATCTCAGTTTCCTATTTTAGTCTAATGTTCCAAGCAGGAACAGCTGGGAACCACCCCTTTAGCTCTGATCTGATCTCATCAGATCTATCTGATCTATCTTCACATCAAGGGTCTAACTTGATCAAGGGTCTGTCTGTCCCCAGACTGGATCTCCAGTCCATAGTCTTCATTTGTCTGTCTTCTGTAGACAGAGGAGAGACACGTCTTGGCCTGTCTACCACAGGTACCAGTGGGGTGGATTGAATCGCCCTCATGAGGCATCAGTAGCCCTTCCCTGAGAGCCTCTCCTTCCCAGGGAGTTTAAATAGCATGGAGGCAGCCTCCATGATCCTTTCCCAGGTCCACGCTTGGCTGCTGACCCCATTTTCTCTTGGGATATGCTCGCACTGTTTTATCTTTGGTTTTAAGGACTCCACTGCACCAGTCCAGCATTAGAAAACAATCAATAAAAGCAGCTGGTTTGCAAAGGAGGATTTGTTCCTTCTCAGTGGTATTTAATTTCAAAGGTGTCACTGAGCAATCCCGTGCTAATGATGACGTTGATGCATATGTCATCCTAGAGTATTAAAAGTAACAGGAATCTGCTGATTTTTTTAATTGACATAAATGAAGAAAAATGTTTGTCTTGTGCAATGTCTTTCAGTATAGCATGCAGCTGCAGAACATTGTTAGTAATAGTAAGTGAATTTGAGAACATGATCTTAACTTTTAGATTTGAGTAGAGCTTTCCCCATATTAGCCTGAAAAACATGGCAGATTTGACTATAATAAGGTGCTAATGATTCCCTCTCTAACCTCTGAATTACAGCGCACTTAACCGAGCTATAGAATAATCAATAGCCCCTGGAGATAATACCATCACTATAACTGATCAGAGTGGAATTGGCAAAGACAGATGGTTATTTTGGTTGCACGTATTTTTCTTTAGTTACAGAAATAGCCCGTTATTTTCACTAAATTTTATGACCAATTTTAAGTATATGAATTACATAGAAAATTGATTAAATATCAGTGAAAAGACTCAGCGAGCTCCTCTAGTGAAATCGAACAATTAAAGGTACCCTCTAAACTAGTCCCACAAGCAAAATAAATAAAATGCATCCACGTGCCAGTGCATTCCCTGGAAAGCAGGATAATGGAGTCTTTGTGTTGAGCGTGTTCGCTGGATTGCCTCGGTACAGCCTCACTGTGTCCAAATCTGGAGGCTGTTAAATCCCTCTGCATTTCCTGGAGAGCAAGAGGAGGGAAGCTAGAGCCAAGATGCAATTTCGAGACTCTTTAGATCACGGTCAATCAAAGCAGAGCCCAATACTGAGGAGTTAATTGGTAGTCAGTGCAGACTAGGCAGTCCTGGTATACAAACCTTTTCCACCAGCTGCATTCTGGACTCTGAGGACTCCCAGAGGGCTTCAGATGTGGCCCATAAAGAGATAGTTTCAGCAATTAAGTCTAGGCACAGCAAAGGCAGAGATGCTTTTGGTGAGGCTCTTACACAAGAGTTTCCCAATCCAAAGATGCTTTTCCTTTTTAGCAGTTGACGCAGTTTCACCCTCCAAAAATAGAAACCTTATGCAGGGCAGCAAAGAAATAGATGGGACATACAACATGGAGGAAGGAGCAAGGAACACTTTAAAGATACTGTTAAAGTTGCCTTCAATCAACCAACATCACTCATTTTGTCTAGAATGAGTTTCAACTTACCAGCCTCCTCAGAGCATGTGCAGATTACGCGTTGCTAAGCAGAAACTGCATTAACCCAAAGCAGTTCACACATGTGAACTGGAGCTGGTTTGAGTCTTCATCCTGCCTTGCTGCATATCCCTCACTTTTGCATTGAACAGCAGTGGTGTCCCTCATATGTTATGGAAGAGAATTCCCATACCCAGAGAACAGCATGTGTTTGCCACTGAAATACCTCTGGATGTTTCTATGGAGAGACCCCAAATCACCCATGAGTTCAGAAACCTTTAGGATTTCAGGACTCCCACTGAAATGAACCAAAATCAGTGAGAGGTGGAAGATCTAAGGAATCGGTTTTACCTTTGTGAATTGTATTCATTTGAAATAGCAAAGCTGCTGCACTTACTACTGCCAGCAATTGTGCCCATAACAACAATCCTTGTCAACAGTGCATCCTAAGGATGGTTGATGGAGGATCCATGCAGACATTTAGCTGTTGTTTGCTGCCAGGAGATCATTCTCTGCCCTGTTCTGCAGCATAAATAGGTTTGAAAGGTCAGAATAGAAAGAATTCAGGCTATTTGGCGACTTTTTGGCAGTGTCAGGGAGATTTGCTGGCCCTAGCCCTTGGCTGCCTGCTCTACCCCAAAAATAAAGGCTAGGAAAAGAGAGGGTGCTCCGAGAAAGAACTCTAAAAAGATGGTGTTTGCAGAGCCAGCAGAATGATGGGCATAGAGGGTAGTTTCGTCCAGAAAACCAGCACGTGGTTCAGGCATTTTGCCTGCCTCGTCTTTAGCCCCTGCACAGAGGCTCATTTCACACTTTGACCTGTTCAGAGATGAAGAATGGGCTCTCGCCGTCAGTGGTAGTGTCCAGAAAGGTATTTTGTTTTCAAGCTCTTTTTAAGAAAAATTTTAAGAAGTAAATTGAATTGTGAGAAGTAAACTGAAAAGAAGGGACTAGAAGGATGAAGATAACATAGATAAGAAATTAGTGATGTATAGAGATTTAGAAATCTGAAGTCAATTGAACAAAATGTCCATTTTTCCAAATATATTCTTAATATGATTTTACCCATTTCTTCTGTTAACTGTGTAATTTGGATGTAATTGCTTTACCTTTGAGGATGAAGTTAGCATGCTTTTATTTTTCTCTGCTCTCTTTCCAAACAGTTAAGGCTGTTTTCTTAAAAATGAGTATCAGAGCTAGATTCCCCGGGACCTTTCTCTTGGCTTTGGTGTTTGGATTTTCATTCAGATTATTCACAAAGCAGCTTCAGGGAACTCTCTTCTCCTGACTTGATATAGTAGAATAGGCCTAGTTTAGAGATGGGTGTTCCTGGCTGTTTTGGAGCGATGCATTAAGCTGTGCATGTCGTTAGCTTTCTGCAGAGTGCACAGAAAGCTGGACACCCCCGATGCTTTGTTTTATTTGTAGAGCTTCTCGAGCCTTAATGTTTACGCTTCTCTCTCTTCTAGGGAGAGCACTGAGAAGAGACACTCCAGCCATCCTTCGCCAGCACCTATCCATCCAGTAAACTCCCTCGGACATAATCGCAGCTCAAATGAGCAGATCAGGAGCCATCTGAATCCCGAGGTTCGAGAAAAAGAGAAACCCAAAGAGCGAGAGAGGGATCACTCCGAATCTCGGAAAGAAATTAATGTTGAAGAGCACAAGGTGAAGGACAACTATATTTCGGAGAAAGAAGGCCTGAGCCATGAAAGCCGCATGGTGGAAGAGTCTAAGCAAATGTCCAGGGTTCCTTCACCCTATGCTAGGCCCCCCGTTGTGGAGAGCACCAGGCCTAACAGTACTTCAAACCGTGAGGCTGAAAGGAAGAATGAGCCAGCGTACGATAATCCGAAGAAAAGCAGTGAAGTCAAAGTGAAGGAGGAGCGAAAGGAAGACCATGATGTTCAACCTGAGGGACCTCAGACTCATAGGTCATCTGATCAGCCACCGCCTATATCTACATCTAATGTCCATCCAAGTCCTTTAGTGTCCATGCCCATGACTGTAGGTGTGACTGGTATACATCACATGAACAGCATCAGTGGCCTGGATAGGACTCGCATGATGACTCCTTTTATGGGAATTAGCCCGATTCCTGGTGGAGAACGTTTTCCCTATCCTTCCTTCCACTGGGATCCAATGAGAGATCCCTTAAGAGATCCTTACAGAGAGCTGGATATTCATCGGAGAGACCCCCTGGGCAGAGACTTTTTGCTAAGAAATGACCCCCTTCATCGTCTGTCTACACCAAGATTATATGAAGCCGACAGGTCGTTCAGGGATCGGGAACCTCATGACTACAATCACCACCATCACCACCACCATCCTCTCTCTGTCGACCCTCGGCGGGAGCACGAGCGCAGCACCCACCTGGACGACCGGGAGCGGTTGCACATGCTGCGCGAGGACTACGAGCACGCGCGCCTGCACTCCGTGCACCCCGCCGCCCTGGACGGGCACCTGCCTCACCCGAGCCTCATCACGCCGGGCCTGCCGAGCATGCACTACCCCCGCGTCAGCCCCCCAACGGGACACCAGAATGGCCTCCTCAACAAAACTCCCCCCACAGCAGCTCTCAGTGCCCCTCCACCTCTTATTTCCACCCTGGGACCTCGGCCTGGGTCTCCCAGGAGGACTACTCCTTTGTCAACAGAAATGAGGGAGAGGCCTCCTTCTCACACCCTCAAGGACATTGAAGCTCGATAAGCAGAGGGAAACTAAATCCAAACCATACAGAGAGGGACAGGACATTGTAAATGAACATAGTATAAAGACCTTCTTACTAGTCATTGATACAGACTGGGGACGTGACCCACTGTACCATATGTATAGACCTGAGTGCAAAGATTTTGAAATTTTTTTTTGTATATTATATGTGGAAATTTTCCAGATCTTTTAGCCAAGTCCATATGATCCTCGTGTCTCCTACTCTATTTTATTTCTAGTTTAAAATTTCAAAATTTGAACTGAAGAACAAGATGTTAATCTGAATGATTTGTCTAGAAACAAAACCAACACCAATGACAACCGTATAGAGCTCTTTCAGACCAGAAGTGAAGACAATTGTAGATATTTATGTAAAAAGATTGCTTCATGGGTTAATGGTTCATATATGCAAAAAGGGTAAGATGAAAGCTTTACTTTGTACAAATGTAAATAGATAAAATTAAGTAACATAATGCATTAATACTTCTTAAACTGTGCTATTTGCAAACTTAATATTGATCAACACAGTCTGCTTATGCTGTGTTACATATATTGTTATAGACAGCTAAACCCCTTCAACTATGCAATGAATTTTAAGGCTTTTCACAAAAGCCTTTATAACTCAAAGGAGCCTTTTCAACACACAACATAATTAAAGTCATATTTTCCCTGAACAAGCTCATCTGTAATAGAAACCTCTTTCTCTTGCTTGTTTTGGTGAAGAAACAACCCATTAGAAGTGTAAGTTTTCTGTCTGAACCCTTGCATCAAGATGCTGATGTTCCTGTAGCTCATGTATTCCTTAGCACCCATCAGGTTGGCAAGCTGTAATCACTAATACTGTAGTCATGACGTATGGTTTTTCAGTCACATGAATCTGGGTTATACAGAGTAAGAATCAAATGCTGGATATTTTCCAGAATTTCCGTCACTTAACATGTCCAATTTAGTCTGGGAAGTACATCTTGTTATAGCCATTCATGTCTGTTTTTGTCATTGGTGTGTCATTTTTATCTGTACACACACTTTCTTTTTATTTTTTTGGTTAAGTGATTTTTTAGCTATTTTGAATCAAATTCTACAAGAAAGCTAATTCTTTTTAAAGTGATGAATATGTTTTCATTGTGGATTGGTAGTTTAATTAATGAACTCCAATGCAGATTTCATAATGCAATTTATTGTATTTTGGTTGGTAATAAAGTATGTGAATAGTTAACAGGCCAGCCTTGTTGTTCCCTAATCATGGAAGACATGAAATAACATGAAGAACATGACCCTTTTTAAAAATATGTATCGATCTTCTAAAACCTCTGTCTTTTCAAAACACACTTTTTTATAATGCGTTAAGTTTCTTGTCTAAGTATTTGGAGAGAATATGACTTTATCAGAGAGAATTCAATATCTTGTCTACTGGACTGTAAAATATATGTATGAAATAAAATTAGTTCCATTGGTCTTCTAGTGTATTAAAGTGCTATCTGAAGTTGTTACCCTGTTTTGGCAAAAAAGAAAAAAGAAAAAAAGTTAACTACAGACAGTTGTTTCTAATGATCAGAGATCTATTTTAGTAGTCAACTGAAGGTTTAGTTGTGAGCTTCAGATTTTGTGAACTCCAGATGTTGTGCAGTGTTTTTTTTCTTTCTTTTTCTTTTCTTTTTTTTTTTTTTTTAAGAACAAAAGGAAAAATACACAAAAAAAAAAAAACGACCCTGAAGAATATGTACACTGGAACCGTAGTGGTAGCTTTCAGTATTGTAAAGAGATTGTTATATACAAACCTTTTTGCTGTTTATCCTGTATGTAATAAAGTCCTTTCTAGATCCTATGTGAAAAGAAAAAGTGCAGCGGCTCTCAATCTTCAGCATGTTTCCTCATCAGCGAAGACTTGTGTAATGTAAATTGTGCCATGTTATTAAAAAATGTGAACTAAACTGCTAGGTGCTTCTTTGTGTGGAGGACCCATCACTGCTATGGGGGCCAAGTCATACTTTTTCCCCCAAAAGTGGTTTTTTTTTTTGGTCAGAGGAAATAGCCATTAAAAAAAGGAAATGACAAACTTTTATAAGCCATCTTCTAAAAATGATTATAATCACCATGAATAAAGGAGCAAAAAGGAGACCAGATCCTCAGCTTGTCCAGATTCTCCAAGATAAATTACCATGTGTGTACGTGAGCGCTCAGTGAAGTGGCCGGCTGCTCTCGAGCGAGGGCAGAGCTGGGTACGGGGCTCTCTGCCCTTTGTCTGAACTGGGGCCATTCCCCACAAGCCATTTTACCAGTTTACATGAGCTAAGGATATGGCTCTCAAATACTATGACCAATTTGTACATAACTGCACAAAAGACATTGATACCTAGGGTATTCTTTTTAATTTGTGCATAAATATATTCTTTTTTTTTCCTTTTCCCACAAGTCATTCAGTTTTTCATAGCGCTGCTTTCATGGTGTCCTTTTCCGGGGGGATGGTGCAAAGGAAAAAAAGCTCTTTGATGCATGATTTCCAGAGCTTTTTTAGTTTTTGCTGATGACAAGCTTGCTGCAAGCGCTTCAGAAGCCTTTTGCCAGGTTACTTTGGCAGAAGTAACTTGGAGGTGCTGAAATTTGCCTTCTTGTGCAAGGCGTGGAAAGCTTTCTTCTCCCTCAGTCGTTTGGTTTGGGGAAGCAATTCCGTGTTTGGAGCCATATGTTGGAGTTGTTTGGATTCGCTTCTCTACCCCTCCTGCATTTCTATCCACAGTCTCTTATTCCCAGGTGACTCTAATGAACGTGATAACATCTCTGGATTCCAGCCATGTAGCTGAGACAAAGGATAGGCCTATCTTTAAAAAAAAAGAACATCAAAAAAAAAAAAAAAAAAACAGGAGTTCCAAAGATTGAGCTCAACTGGAGGATGCTTGCACAGATGCAGTGCAGAGGTGCAGAGCAGCTTCTTCTCATCTCAGAGCATTTGATGAGTCCTGAGGGCTCTGTCAGGGTCACCAGGGAAAAGAAAGCTGGTAACTCATTGCACTGACTGTGATCCTTGTGCTTCCCTGCTCAGGGCAGTCCTGCTGATGGTCCTTAATGCCCAATCAAGCCAGCAAGTGCCAGGCTCCAGAGTCCCAGAAGACTTCCAGGCATTTGACTCTCTTTGAATTAATATAATTTAAGTGGCAATGCTTCTTTGAAGAGCTGGGTGTCTGGCCTTCTTAGAAGAGCACTGATAACTCCCAAGAGCATGCCGGAAGGATAGGACAAGAGATGAAACAAGATATTAATGCTTCTGAACTTCATTGCTTTGCAGATGCTTTGATACAGAGAGCTTAGCTTGCAGGTAGAGCCAATTTAATCTTTTTAGCAAGGCTTTTCCATTCAAGACTTTATCTTTTATTTTGGAATACTTAAAGAACTCAAGACTATGCAAAACCCAACCCAAATACTAGAGGTATAAATGAAATGCATTAGTGATATATTCTATAGAGTATAAGACACCTGAAGTGCAGAAAACCCTGAGCTCCATGTGAATACCACACAGGACCTTAGCTCTGTGTGCCACAGATCTCCATCCACCTCCCTCCATTCCAGCTTTCTGCTTTGCAGCTTCCCATCACCAGCCTGGATGCCAAACAACGTGCAGGGGGTAGGAAGTGATTCTTTGACAGCAATCTTGTATCATCTGTTCTCTGATAAAAAGTTTGTTCCGTTGTGTCCATTCTTTCTTGTTTTAACCTTCTGTATTGTCTTCCGTTACTAGATGCTTAGTTCTAACCTCTTTATTTTATTTTTCTTTTTTGCTATTTATACTTCACTGCTACTGTAATTTTCCTCTTGCCTTTTTGACAGTCATGCTTTCTTTAATGGCTTATGACAGCTAAATCTATTAATAGTCAGCAATAAACACTAGATTTTTTTTTCCCTTCAAGAGCCCTACCTACCTACTGTATATTTTTGTTCCTTTTTTAACTATTGCCTATGTGAGCTTGTGAAAACAGAAACTGTAGGCCTTGCTGGGTTGAAAGGCAAAGGGAGGCTGGGGAGGATTCTATGTGAAAGTGTGTTGGTTTGCTACAGCTGTGCCTTGTTAAGTAATTCCTGGTGGGTTTTTTTTGAACTCTTTAACTACTCCTTCACACATGCAGGTGAGCTCTGCTGACAGCCACTGGAGCAAGGTATCAAGTTGTTGATTCTATTGCATTTACCAAGGAGCTGCTTGGTGTGTTTCTGGTGGAAAAGAAGAATGAGCTGTGGTTCAATCAATGACCAGGGGCTTTGATACTCCCATGATGACCCTAGGTAAGAGAATTTGTTTTTTAGGTTCCCACTGCCATCCCTGGAGATTCGCACTGATTCAGAAAGTGATTTGGAGCAGGACCCCAACTTAAATGAATTGAGTTACCTTTTGAAGGTGACTCCTCTATCTGTGGAGGGAGATTAGCCTCTAGTTTAAGTGGGTCTGTCAAATGCATAGAACCAAGTGGTGGGATTACCTCTGCCCTTACTGGGTCTGTGGCTTCCGTTTTGTAACATGGAGGTCAGATTTTCATTCCGTCTTTGGCCCAGCAGAGTGCTAATTCTGGCCCTTCTGCTTATGCCCAGCTTCTCCTGAAGTCTTTGGGATATGTTCTATCTTACATTCCATGTATGTAATGACCTTGACAGGACCCTGTGCCTAGTCCCCTTGCTGGGGCAAGTGAACTTCTCTCAGTGCTGGTAGAAAACAAAAAACCCTAAGAGACCAGAATGAAAACTGAGGGTCTCTTGGGTATGTCTAGAGCATTGGTTTTTGCAGGCCAGGCCAGGCCAGAGCCTCTTTTCCCTGTACTCAGTCTGCAGGGACTTGGACGCTTTGTGGCCATGTACATGGTGGAAGTGCCCAGGTGTTTCCCAGCCACAAAGACTCTCTCCCACTGCCGCCTCGAAGGACCGCTGGGTTTGTCTGCGTGTAGAGAAAGTGTGGTTGGATGTGAACGTCTACAGCCTCACTGCTGGGAGCCGCGCCGCAGGGACGAGGCTGCACGGAGCGACCGGCGGAGCGAGGCGCCAGGCAGGCACCCCACGGGCTGCAGGGTGCTTCGTTCTTCTGGAGCTGCCCCTGGAGACTATGATCCTTTTATTTGACATTTCTTCTGCTTCTCTGGTAATAAAAGACTTTAATGCACCCTGTTCTCTGTGTTACGAATAGGCAAAAAAGAACAGCTGGGAGCACAAAGCTGGGAGTCATCGGCACAACTTCAGGGGGTGGGGGCCGAGATTTGCTAAAATTATCTCCATGAAGCAGTTGGCTTTACTAGGTTATTTATCAAGAGGATAATTAAGTGCCTCAAGTATGAACAAGAGCTGATAAGGCGTGTGGTCATTCTGGCAGTGATTTATTGAGGGCACCTACGCTGTATTTTACAACTGTGACTTGTTTAATCACCATGATCTCTCCATGTTGAAACCCCATTTGCTGTGTAGCCTTTTCCTTGCTTGGGTTTACAATGCATCGCTCTACTGTAAAATCTTCTATTTAGTCCTAGGTACCTAGTTGTCTGCCAGCAATAAAATCCTTTCTGTTCCCAGTCTAAAAAAAACGAATTAAGCAAGGACTAAATCCATGGATTAAAAGGAAGTTTTGGCTATCAAATATTCAGTATTACTGAGACAACGGCACACATCTTCTGCTTCACATCTTTAAAGCCCTTAACTAGTTTCCATTGAACTGACTGCTCATTTCTGTGGATACAACAGGGGCTCTGTTTGGCATCAAAAACCTGCAGCTAGACTTTAAAAATCCAAATAAAAAATGCAAATATAAACTTCCAGGGATTTTCAGTAGTCCTTGAAGCAGTCCTTGAAGGGCCTCAGGCTATTTGAGGCAAACATGAAATATGTGAAGTTCATTTAAGGTGTGGACCCTCTACAATTAGCACTACCTCTGTGCCCTTCCAAAGGGAAGGTTTTCTCTGGGTTAATGCTAGAGCGTTTGAGCAGAAATGGATTTATTTTATGCTGTTGGGAGAGGCTGCCATTCCTTGGAGATACCACAAGAGGGTAGTTAAAGAGAGTCTGAAATGCGTGTAGGCTGACGGACGGCACTGCTGCTTTGCGCAAGGTGAATGTAGCCATAAATTACTTTTACATCAGCCTGGTCTTTGAAAAGTGTTCTTGTATCCCCGCTTTAAGATGGAAATCTCAAAGGTGCCGTGGCAGGCGAGGAGTGACCTTGCTTTAGCTTAATTTAGGTGAGCGAGAAGAAGTG